GGGGAGGGGGAATAAAATTAAATCCGGAGGCACCCGGTGCACCTAGGGTGTTTATAGCCAATTTACCTTAGCGAAACCCTAGGAGAGGGTTTCGACCTTACCTACCCAATTTTTAAGAAAATGGGATTTTTCTGACTGTTGACCGGCGTTGACCAGCGTTGACCGGCGTTGACCGGCGTTGACCGTCATTGACCAGCGGTCCAGCTGCTCCAGCAACTCCAGCAGTCCAGCAGGTCAGTCCAGCGGCCCAACAGCACAGGTCCAGTAGCTTGGCAGCCCAAATCCAGCAGGTCAGCAGCCCAGCTCCTTCAGCTCCAGAAGCAGTCCACCAGGCCCAAATCGAGTAGCCCAAGGTCCAGCAATTGAAGCCTAGTAGACTTCTTCGTCCCTGCTATCTGCGTTCCGCGAGGAACGAACTCCAGACCTTCGCAGGTGGGGGCTTTTGGCTGACTTCCGCGGGACTCTCGGACGGCGGCGACCGGCTCGGATGGTGACGATTTCCAGGCGGACGGATGGCAGGGCTTCAACTCCCAGCGTCTATGGATGTGCGCAGGGCTTCAACAGCGTCTATGGATGTTCGCAGCAATGGTGGCCTGCAGCGACGCTGGTAGGCGGTAGCTCCAGCGACGAACAGATCGGCGAGCAACTCCCTGCGTCGGCGAGCTCCAACCTGGCATACGGCGGCGGCGGGCGGCGGCAGACGGCAGACGGCAGAACCCGCTCTGATACCACTGTTAGGATCGTATCCGTCTCTGGCTCAGGTCTCCAACCACTCTAGACTAAACTCACACACACCCTCTAGGTCTAGGCCACAACATCTCCCATGTTTACTCACTCTTCTTCACTCCACAAAGGAACTCTCACACAAGGAAAGGAAGAAGGAAGACACTGCTCTCTGGAAGAGGAATTCACGCAGGCTTATCTCAAAGGGGCAAACAAAAGGACTACAAATAGGCTGCCAAGGAAAGTCACGGGTGAGGCTTATCAACAGGGTGTCACAGGCTGCCAGACAGGAGGTGCAGCGGACAACAACAAAAAAAGGGGGCTCACATATTGTAAGTCAACAGGCACCAATGAGTGATTTCAACTAAGGGAATCAATGTGGGAGTAAACATGGGGTGCAAGCCTTAATAATAATGTACGGCGATTTTTACTGAAGCGCCTGAAAGGAGCGCCTGAAGAGTTCTGGTGCGATTTCCGACCCAGAGTACGGATACTCGTCTCAATGATGTACGGCGCCATGGATTCAGGGGATTAGCCATCAGGAATAGCTGCTCATTCCGATTCCGACCCCAGATTTGGGATTTGAATAGTGTTTCGGGGACCTATTTGTAAAAGGAACGAACTGAAAGATTGAATCTCACTGTTCACGCGGCGGATGCATCTGGTCCGAGCTACCTCTTTCGAAGCCTGGGTTTAGATTCTGGGGTTACTCTGTAGTTGCTAAAACCTGGTACGTTTTCCCGAACCAGTGTTCTGTGGCGATATTTGATTGTTTTGGTTTTCGTTCTGGGTCGTTTTCTGCGACACGAACCTCAAATGGGAAAAAATGTAAAGGGCGTTACAGAGGTACCAACGGGGCGAGCCACTAGATTGAGTTCCAGGTTCTCTGTGTTAGAAGCTATGGAGGAGGACTTCCCAGCTTTAAACATTGAAAATCTGCAATCTGGGAACAAGGTCAAGCCTGGGAAGTGCGTAAAGCAGACAACTGCAGGTGGTGCTACTGCAGGGCTTCAAACTGATACTGAGGAAACTGCTACTGAGGTTATGTCCTCGACCCCAGGTGCAAGAGCTTCAACTGCAGGTGCTACTGCAGGATTTTCTGCTGTGAAACGGGTCCAGAATGGACATACTATTACCAACTTTGAGGCTGCTATAGGGCATCAGATTTCTGCAGGAAAAACCCCCCAAACTGCTGCTCCATTTGGTGAGGAAAATGACATGGAGGGCTTGAATGCTGATACAAATGTTACTGCCAGTAAACTTATGCTGGAAAAGAGGACTGTAGGAGAACTGGAATCTGGGAAGCCAACTAAAACTACTGCCAGGCCTTGGAATGCACTATTCAAAGACAATCGCGATCCAACATATGGTCTTAAACTGAAATATGTCCCGCCAAAAGGTAAGACATTGGATTTTTCAGATCGGTCGTTGCCATCCATGATTGAAATGTGGGGCTATTGCCTTGTTGGATTTTTCACGGGCAGATTTCCCGGGCTCAAAGCGATCCATGAACTGAAAGAGAAGTGGGGTGTGAAGTGCCTTGTTAGACGTCATGATAAGGGATGGGTTATCTTTAAATTTCAAAGTGAAGATGATCGAACTAAAGTCTTACACGAGGGGCCCTACACTATCTTCGGGAAACTATTAATGCTTAAGGTACTCTCGGAGGATTTCTCGTTTGAGGATGACGAATTTTTAAAGCTACCGATTTGGATTAAATTCCCTAAATTACCACTGAAGCTTTGGAATGAGGAGGCTATGAGTGAAGTGGCATCCATGGTTGGGGTCCCACTAACTACGGATAAGATCACCCAAGAGAGGACCAATCATGCCTTCGCTAGAGTGCTAATTGAGGTCGATGTTTCTAAGCCACCTTCGCTTTCATTTCCTATACGATTATCTCCTCACAAGGTAATTAATCAACGTGTGCTATATGAAACTTTTCCCAATTATTGTTTTTATTGCAAAGAGTATGGGCATCACCCATTCATTTGTGAGAAGCTTGCTAAAAAGGAAAACACTGTTGAAAAAACGCCGGAGAATACAAAAATTGACGTAAGTGATGTTGAAATTTCTGCTCAAGTAAGGACAAAGGAGACTAAAGATGCGCCGGAAACTACTGTTGGGGCTATTTCTGCCCAAGATGTTGCTGATTTTGAAGTTACTGATGCTGCAATTGATGAAGTTGCTACTGATTTTGAAGAACATGTTGCTGCTGCGGCTGTACCAACTGTCCATGTTACTGATGCTGCGTTTGAAGGACTAGTTGCTGCTGCGGTTAAAGAAGTTGCTGCTGCGGTTCCTACTGCATTTGAAGAACCTGCTGCACTTAAAAAGGTTGTTGTTCCTGCGGTTCCTACTTCATTTGAAGAACTAGCTGCTGCTTCACTTGAAAAGGGTGTTGTTGCTGTGGTTCCTACTGCATTTGAAGGACTACCTGCTGCTGCACTTGAAAAGGTTGCTGCTGCTGGTCCTAATCAGGTACAACCTGCTGCTGCCGCTGCATTTGAAGCTGCTGGAGCTGCTGGAATGGGAGTTACCCCAGCACAGGTGGAAGCCGTTGCTACTGCTGCGCCGGACCGGCTGATGCAACCTCCCAAACCACTTCGCAGCTACATTTTGAGAGTCCGTGTAGATAAGGATGGGAAGAAAAGGCTTCTTAGCAATGATGTTAAGATTAGTAATGATGTACTAAACTAACACTTGCTTCCAACATGATAACTTTGATTTAGTTTTTTATCTCGGGGCTTGTCCCGATATCTACTAGTTTGATGGTTTGGGATGTTTATATCTAGGTTAGTTTATTCTAGTCTAGGTAGTTCGGTATGATTTCTTAGACGCATTGTATGATGCTATTTTTGGATGTTAATACAATTACCTTTCATCCAAAAAAAAAAAAAAAAAGTGGAAGAGAGGCCTTGGTAGGACCAATACCTCCAACACACAAGATAAAAATAAATTAACCAAATTAGATTAGAAAAATTCAATTCAAATAAATAATTTTAAAAGGGTTCTTGTTGATTTATTTTGGGTTTTTACTTTTTACCATAAAAATCCAAAAAATATCACTCTAGGATTTTGCCCAGTAACTATTTCCGAAAAATAGTTCCATTTAAAAAAATAAAAAATGTTTCACATCATAGAAATAATTAGATTTAGTGTCACAGAGCTATTCAGACTGCGGAATTCAGAGATCAGAAGAAGCAGCTGCAGAAGAGTAGACTGAATGCATATACTGTAGCTCACGCATACAGTGAACCACAACCCGTACAACATGACAGATTAACACAAAATAGAAAATTTCTACTTTTAACATTGAACCCACAATAGCCTTTATCTACGCTGTCCGCCTTAATTTGCAGGTCGATAGTGACATCCATCCCCCATTTTCACCCTCCTTTAAAAAGGAATGGGAAATTGGAAATCCAGAAGAGATCACTTGCAAGTCTTTGTCAAACCCATTTCAGAACCTGGCTGAAAATGACATCTTCCCCCCTTTCTTAATTTACTTTACTTACTGCCCTTAATTTCCCCTGCCGTGCAAGCAACAATCCTCTAACTATGTTTGGTAGAATAATTATGAGCTGAAGAGGAGAAAAATCACAAAAAGGACATATCCAGAAATTTTTGATTATTGTGCTTTTAAGTAGAATACTCCATAGAATACTAAGCACTGGTGGGCGTAGCTTAGCGAGAGAGTGCTACAAGAATTAGGTCCCGAATTCGAATCCCGACAACTGCGATAAGAGGTGAGATGAGAGGTGACTGTGCTAAATGTTAAAGCCTCTGCAAGTACCGGGAACAGAGATCCGCTCTCTATCTGTCTACTCTCTATCTGTCAGATTTGGGATTATAATACAATTTACATCCTTCCAACGTACCGTCTTATCGGAGTTGGGGGCCCTAGGATGAGGTGTCATCCTTTTTTTCATAGAATACTAAGCCAAATCATGTGACCAAATCAATGAAATCATTAGACCATGGCCAATTCAACATTTAGCACATACTTTATGATCAAAGTTAATGAACTAATGATAGTGTCAGTTCCAAACAATATTCAAATTTCAATAGTTTTTTTTTAGGATTTAAATTTCAAAAGTTAACACATACTTTAAATTATCAAAGTTAATTAACTGATGATAAAGTCAATTGACTCAATTCCAAACAATATTTAGCTTATTATTAAGAAGCAATCTATAAGACTCTGATGGATTTCTTCTTGAACTTCTGTAAAGATAAAAAACAGAACCAAAGAAGCAATCTATTAGACTAAATAATTAATTGTCAAAGTAAATCCATGTACTAATAGCAAATCAATACATATGAACAGTTAAAACTTAATTTTGTTTCCTGCATTTCAAACCACCTCCAAAAAACAGGTGCAGAAGATAATATACTTTCACTTGACCAAAACAAGAAAAACTCCAAAGCAAAAAACCTTGGCAAAAAAGGCACCAAAGATATGAACAAAGATGCAAAAACTAATTAAACATCTCGAGTGGTTTTTCTAAACTATAAGAGCTCAAAATTTTCAAACTAGACTAAATCTTTCTCATAAAAAACATCACTTTGGAAGCTAGAGGAAGAGTTAACACCACAGAGAAAGACCAGCGGTAGAAAAATCTACGGTTTTTTTAAAATCCATTCAGTGCCATGAAGAAACAGTGAGCAGAGGTTCATCATTCCAAGCTAAGGAGAGAAATCCAGGGGGAGAATCTATAAGCCCATAAGATGAACTGTAATTATAATTCCAGAGAAGGATTTTAGCTTGACTCATTGCATAATGGCTAAGGGGTAACGGTTCAAAACCTGCACTTTCCATCAGAACAATCCATTGTTCTTTATCTTCATCATTCTTATCACTGCACTCTTTACTATACGCCTCAGTTTCAATGGGGCCCGCCATCACAGATATTCTCCGGCCTAGCAGCAGTCTTTCCACCTGTAGTCTCTCCGGCGAGTCTCGGGGCATATTCGGATCCAAAGATTGGAAAACTAATGAGTAGTAATTCAGTGCATTTGTGAACCGCTCCAGGAACCCGGCCCGATTAAAGCACAGCTCGTTTTCGCCCAAAGTTACAACACTCGGATTCAATGATTTCGCTAGCTTCAGTGCGGTCTCTACAATGGCGGTGGTCTCGTCTAACAGATTATATAGCTGAAGCATGAAATTTACGGCTAGTACATCATCCGGGTCAACCCTTAAAACCGACCCGTTTAGTTCATGGATCGGCGTCTCCACGGGTTCGAACTCTAAATTGAGATCCAGAATCTTCGCGAAATCACGCAAACGGTTCCCGGTTGCCAGAAGCGACGCCGTCGGGGACTTCCCTAGAACCGGTGAAGGGATGCCGGATATCCGTACGCATTCGGGCTTCCCGGCGGGTCGGGTCGCCAGATCCTGTAAAAGTGCAGCCCATTGAATTCCCTGGACGATTCCGAAATCAACGATGTGAATCCTCGAAGCTTTCTCGGTGGCTTCCAGAATTGCTTGATTTGCCGTCAAGTGAGCAAACTTCGTGTACGGACAGGCGTCGTAGAAAGCTTTGTAAGATAAAGCGAACTCCTCCAGACTTGAATCGACGGCCAACGGAATCTTCGCCGGTTTCCGAGAAATCCGACTGTATAACGCTTCGGAGAAGTAGAAAGCAACTCGCTCGCTCGGGTCACCCTCTTCGGAAACGGATTCTCTGAGTCGAGCCAGCAATTTCCTAGCATTTTCTGGTTCCGAGTCCGCCAATCTAGCACAGTCGACTAACGCTTTAAGCAATGGTTTTGAAGACAGATTATCCGGCGAGGCTAAGGCGGTAGAGGTAGTAACTGGCGCTGCTGCAAAGTCGTCTCGGTGGGCCGGGCTCGGGCTTGAGGGCTTGGTGTCGTTACCGGACGGCTTTGTGGAAGGCGAGGACGAAGAAGAAGGGACCCAATCGGAAGCCGGCTGTAATAGAGGAGCTACATTAGCATTCTTCTGGTCGTCGGAGAAAATAACCCGGTTAAGATCTGAATGCTCGCAGGAGGCAACACTGAGTCGACTCGGGCAAACAAAAGGATCGGCAGCATATACACCGAACTCGGAGCCAGTCTGCCACGCGTCGCATCCGGATTGAAGATTAGAACTTTCCGTGGAATCCCCACCGCCCATCAAACTATCCATCCACTCATCCGAGTCGAACTCGCCACCGGGTCCGCCACCAACGAAATCCGTAAACGGGAAAAAACCACAGGAGTGTTCGAAGTTGGGAAACTGAAATCCCGGGTCGGAGGCGTCCGCGCCGCCGGGGACCTGAAACGGGTCGGTTAACGCAGACCCGGCGGCGAGCCCATATCCGAAGGTGGGACTATAGGCGGCGTGGGCGGAAGGCCATGGATTCAGGCAAAAGATCTGCTGTTGCTGCTGCTGCTTCTGTTGCTGTTCTTGCTGCTGCTTTTGGTTGATGACTTGCTGGGCAATCGCCATCAGGTTTCCGCTGTCTGTGCACATATATGCCATTACAGAATCCAGCCTAGGTCTTGCTGGCTCTGTGAAATGTTACATTTAGCTTAAAGACAGCAGAAATTAAGGGAGGGGGAGAGAGAGAGTCAGTGTGTGTGGGTCTAGGAGACTGAGAGCTGCGTTCTGTTCTTATGAACAAAGGACTCGGATGAAAGAGGAAGACAACGGCTATTCAAAGTCACTAGTCTCATTATTTATCTATGAGATCTTTCCTCAAATATTGGTGCTTTATCTTATTATCTACTGTATATTTCTTTTGCAAATGTTATCATTTTAATGTGTTAACAAAATTGACACTTTTAGATAGGCGGGGGTATATCTTTTTCAGATAGGTTTTATCGGTTTCGGTTCAATTCGATTTGGAACGGATTAGAATTATTATTATCATCAAATAAAAATCATACTAATCTTTCAGTTTGGTTTGGTTTGGTTTAGTTCGATTTGGTTCGATTTGAAATTGTTATTTTTGATAATATATGAAGGTTTTATTGAATTTCTATAGTAAGGTTCGGTTTCTTCGGTTTTTTCTCGGTTTTGGTTCAGTTCGATTTAATACGGTTTGGAAGAACTACTACCTCAAACCAAATTACATATGGTTCGGTTTCGATTCAGTTTAATTCGGTTTGGTACGGTTCAGTTCAGTTAAATCGAACCACTTTGCCCACCCCTACTTTTAGAGTCCAGTTTGCAATATTGAATTTGACTCAATCAGGTGATATTGCTAAAATTTATGAAGTTCTGCCTAAAGTGAGTTGATTATGTTGATTTATGAAAAAAAATATATAGTATTTTAAATATATCTTATTACTAAAATAAAGAAAAAATTATACTCCCTCCGTATCTCATATATCTTCTTACTTTCCTTTTTTTACTGTAACATTCATATCTTCTCATTTCTAAATACGGAAATAAATAAATACCAAATGTTCTATTCTACCCTCAATTATAGCCCTTGTAATTCTCATGGTACCCTTGCTTTCGAATTTGAAATCAGAATATGGCCAAATAGCCATCAGATGTCGGTCCACTGAAACCCTACCCCAAGTCCAAAATGAATGTTAGGCTAAAACCTTTAACCCTACTTGTTTCCCGACTTCATCTCTCACCTCTAAACTATTCCGCCTCCATAAAATAAATCCTGGCTACGTATTCAACTGCCGACCTCAACCATTCAGCCTTCCATGGAGTCTGAAATGAATGAGATCGCTACTCCCTCTATTGCTTGCTATCTTTCTGTAGGCCTAGCGTCGGCCTCAGAGGAGGTCCTAAACAAATCCGTCTGAGATTCCCTTCACTCTACGAAATCGACTTCATTTACTCCTCTGGTTCCCGATGCCATTGATTTTCCCTCTGATTCTGAAAGTTTTCCTTCCCCAGAGTGGTATCTTTCTCCATCTGACACTGATGACACCGATCCGACTTGGAAGTGGAGGAAGCGTTACGAAGGGGAGATGGTCCCTGACGGTGACGATGGCTTTGAGGGCCTTGACGACATGTGGATGGAGGTCTCTTCGAAGAGGGCAGTGATGCCAACACCTGTCTCTGTTGTTGACAAATGACGATGATGAAGGAATGTTGTAGTGAAGTTGTTATTACTTTAATTCATTTCTCTATTGTCTGATAATTGCATGTTTTACTTTGCCATTAAACCAGTGCTTTGTGTTGCTTCTGCTTGATAAATAATTTCTGATTTCGCTTGATGAAATATTGTGTGCTCCAGATTGTTATGACACTTTTTTGGCCTGATTTTACTGATGCCATCCCTGTGATGAATATAATCTGAGGGCTAAATATAAACTATGAATGAAATGATTATTTTGGCTGAGTGTTGTTCTGTATTGCCTGTGATAATTGGTTTCTAAGGCTAAGTGTAACCTTTCAACCAACTGGCAGTGATGAAACAATTTTCAATGGCTAAGTTTAAACTTTGAATGACACTTATTTGGACTGGTTTTACTGATGCCATCCCTATGATGAATATAATCTGAGGGCTAACTATAAACTATGAATGATATCATGGTTAATATGAATCTGTTTTCATGGTTATAACTCTCCCGGTTATCATAAAGCTACTCGCCTTTATGAAACTGTTTTCAAGGCTAAGTTTAAACATTGAAAGGTATGCCTTTCTGAGCCTGTGTGTGCAGCCAGTGATGAATTTGTATTTCTGAGGCTAAATGCTTATTCTGAACCCTGTGTGTGGAGCCATTTGGACTGCATACACGTAATTACTAATTTAATTTAAAACGAATAAAAAATTTATAACACAAATAGAAAATACATGGAATTGAAATGTTACATTCATTCCTAAATTAAGATAAGGTAAAGGTGTGAATATTAAGCAACGTCTCCTCATATAGCTCCCTAGTCACCCCAAAGGTCCGAGGTAATAGACCATGCCTTTGTAATGCATCCTTTCCCAAATGCTTCAATTTGTAATGGTTTCTTCCCCCACACTTGAGCACATCTTGCATCACACATTGATAGGTTAGAAAAACCTTCCCTAGGGTGTTGGCTGATAGTTCGTTATAAGCATCTTCCACATTTCCAACTAATTCTATGAGTGAATTGCTAGGCTTTTGGTCTTTTAGGGAATCAATGGCTCGAAAAAACCCGAGATCTAATACATTTAAATCAGGGTTGTTTGGTGGTTGGCATTGCAAAGATTTATTCCAACCATCAGCAGTTGCTTCTCTATGAAAATCTGTATCGTCTATGAGCATATGCGGCTTTGTATTGTCTTGTTGAATGATGATGTTCCTATTATGCACATCTGGCCATTTTTCTTTAATTGCGGGCATTAACGTAGATAGAAACATTTCTTTCATAACTTCCCGGGTTATACTAGTAATAGGTTTAACTTCTAATGACCCTCTTGGCCTATTTCTACTTGACCGAATGGCAGCCTCGTGGTATGTGAAAGGCCAAATTCCTAGCTTTCCATCCCATAACACTTCCCCTCCCTCACCAAACCTAGGCCTACTCACAACAGCCAAAAACATTATTTTTGGAATAAAATTCTTTGATTGAGCACTCCTGTATGGATCAGGTTCATCATTTGCCAAGTAGAATTTATCAGTTTCCTTAGTGGTGTTAAACTACTTCTTATATATGTGAATCTACTCATACATGTGTGTAAAAGTTGGGTTAAATGGAATAGACTCCGGGTTTAGTAAACCAAGCAATGTTGCAACCTTTTAAGTTTACCATTATCTGTTAATCGAGGTTTTAGGGCGTTGGTGTGTCTCCTAAGTTGTTTTTTCTGTAATAGTCTCCACATAGTCGTGTGTGACACTCCCATCGCATAACCAAGTGATCTAAGATTTTTCCTAAATTGAAGTGGTACATCTTAAGCTTTTCCAAATCAAGATGAATATCTTTTCTACTCGCACGACCTGCATAACATCTGTCCACATTAACTACCTCCCTTTCCAGTAGTTGTAGCTTTGCTTTTTTCCATATAGAGTACACTGATCTCCTACTTGTGTTGAAGATACTTGCAGTTTCCCTAACAATTCCCTTCTGAAGTTTACCCCGTTGTGTTGTTGTAACAATTTTTGTGTAATTCGATTCCTTTCATCATTGCTCAATTTTGTTCTTCTTGAATGTAATGCAATAGGTTGATGCATGTCCATGTATGTGTCATGACCATGACTCTCTTCATTTGTATTGTCTGTGTTTTCTTCAATGAAAACAATGTCTAATTCTTCTTCGGTATTTGTGTTTTCCACACTAGGGATTTCATTTAGGTTGAGGAGGGGAGCATGGAGATGCTGCCAAGACAGATTGGGAAGAAAATTTAAATCTAGGATGCAAGAGAGCAGATTGCTTCTCATTTTCCCTACTTTTTGGGTTGTGTGGATTATTTTATGTAATCAAATACATGTATATATAAGAACATAGCTAGACTGTAATTTGAAAATGGAGGGAGTATGAAATATTTCCCACCGAACAGTTTCATTTAAACAATTCAGATTTGTGCATATGTGACCTACTTTTTGGACTTTTCCAATTATTTGTCAGCAGTCCTGCAGAAGGGCAAAACAGCCATTTAAACACGTGTATGGTTAATGTAGTTAATCTCAACCACTTTGGGAGTGGGAAGATATATGAGAAACGGATGGAGTATTACGTATAAAACTAGCTAAATTGGTTCTCTACAATAATTTCAACCAATATAGTCATAAATGTAACTCAAACCTAACTTTTTCTTATTATTACACAATTCATCGCGTGAAATTAAAAGTTACGTGTTTGATGAAAAGGAGACAATAATTCGAAAACATGGTCATCAAAAGGCCTCTTAATTACAGAAAACGAAATCTAGTCTAGTTTTTTCCTTTCAACTTTCACCTATGAATTTTATGAAATATAATTCTATGTGTTGGACACATTTTTGTATTGAAGACTTGAAGTCAAAATTGATGATCGTTGGTCACATTTTAGTTTAGCACTACGGACAATTTGTGTGGCTCATATTTTTGTATTGAAGACTTGAAGAAAACGATTTTATGGTTTGTAACTCGATCTTGTGTGGACAATTTGTGTGGCTCACATTTTAGATCAACCAACTTTTTCACCAAACACGTAACTTTTGATTGCGCGCGCTGAATTGTGTAATAATAAGAAATAACAAATATTAAAGTTAGACTTACTTTTCTGGCTGTATTGGATGAAGTTACCGTAGAAGAAAATTTTAGCTATGTTTTCATATGATTTTTTCTTTATTTTATTAATAAAATGTATTTTAAATATAATTTTTTCATGAATTGACACAATCAGCCAATCCAACCACTTCAACCAGAACTTCACAAATTTCAGCAGAACCAGCCGATACAGCTGATTTTGGTAGTACGAAACGGGCTCTAAGTGTGACATATGTTGCATTTTTTGATAATTTTATGTTGGTCTCCTTAATTTCACCCCCATAAATGGTACTCCTTTCGTCCCATAAAATTCTTTCCACATTGACTTGGCTCGCATATTAAGGATGCGAGAGTAAGTGTAAATGTATGGTTGTAGTTGTGTAAGAAAAAGGTAAATAGAATGTGAGCCACACAAATTGTCCACAAATGGTAAGTGGGAAGCATTTTTTGGGATGACTCAAAAAGGAAAATTGGAAGAATTTTATGGGACGGGGGAGTATATACATAAAAAATCTACCTTAACTGTATCAATTTAA